GATGGCGTTGCTGGAGTTGGCACATTCTGATAGGGTCCACCAGAAAGGTCACTGGCAGTTTGTCCATCACGAGCTGGAGTCAAGTTTGAATAAATATTCCCAATAGACCCTGTTGCGGTGATAGGTGGTGCCGGTGGTGGAGGGTCGTGGGAGAATTCCCTATACAAGTAACTGCGTAAGCGTGATGTGATCTCAACAAGAGCATCTCGAGCTGCCTTTATCTCCCCGACAATCTGCAGATAAATCAAAGTGCAATTCAGAATCTACAAGGTAAACCTTATCATCTCATCCCTCATTTATTAAACTTAACAAGCCCATGGAAAAAGATAGAAAAGCATGAGAGACCCGAGATTTTGAATCTTCGGGCCTGGATTTAACTAACATCGAGAAGTTAAGCTCTCTATGATTCATAAGAATGAGTATCTAACTAGCAAACCTGCACAATCTCATTGGGCCCAGATACACAACAAGGAAGTTCTTCTCTTGATAGTATCTGTATGTTTGCACCGGTTAATCTTTTCATTTCAGATAATGATCCATCTCTTCCCTCTAAACATCCAATTTCACTCGACGGAACAAGTAATCTAGTAGTTACTATGTTATCCTTATCAGGAACAAGGTCAACAATCTGAGTTTGGATATGCAATAAAGCCTCTTGAGCTGGAAACAACTCATCGTCAGGACCCTAAGGACAAACAAAACCAAAGATATGTTGGAAACCTCCAGGAATATGTAGAATTCGAAATTCAAAAGGAAATGAACAATGTTTTTTAAATGTCTTCCGAGCCTTTAAACATTGTAAATGATAATTTCTTATTCAAAAAGCTAAAAAGTGATGGCATTTATCACCCAAAAACAGCTAGGGGAAAAAGAGCGCAGGCTAAAGAAACAACTACCCCCCCCCCCACAGTGACCACATCTCATTAAATAAACATAAAGCGATGGTATACCTCCTCAGAAGAAATGGTAATTATCTGCTCGTCTGACCCTGCCACGAGATCAGCAACTTTGACATCCACGCCAATTTCATTTCGAAGTAAATCTACTATTCCATCTGGCTCTCCTAAAACACTGTCAACCTTGTCCATAGGACAAAGTATTCGAAACACAAGATCCTCACCAAACAGAGGCTGTCCACCGTCAGCCGGAGGAGCAGTCCCAGCTTCAATGAAGCCAGACGAACGTGAGGAATAATTGCTCCCCCTGTAATTCATAGTAGACATTCGATAACCAAAAGAACCATCCATAGATGATTTGTGTGATGTATTGTTTATTGGTGGAATGTAATCATCATCAGGGAAAAACCTCTCAGGTGAATGCATTCGTCCATGTAAATGACTACGATCACGATGCTGACTCTCTCTTAAGCGTGATGAAATAATTGCTATAGCATCTTTTACAGCATTTACATCACCTACAACCTGCATGCAAAAAACAGTAGACAAATATCATAAAACCATTTTTATCTTCCACCAGAGGGAAATTGTGAGGGAGAAAGAAGTTCAAACTGAATATGCTTAAATAGATGTTAAACCAAAAAAGATTTCCCGAATAGTCATGTTTGGTAGCCAAACCATCCATAACAAATAGCATCATCAGAAGCATTATTCTTTGCAATGCATTATGGACAGTAGGAACACTTCAATATGAATGGATCTGAACTATTCAAATTTGATACCCATTTGCAGCCACAGCTGCATAGAATACCTAAATTCAGACTCCTGATCAGCAATCATAGAAATATGGTAAAGTAGACACATGGGGTAAAGTGGAAAATGATAATTAAGTAGCATTCATATGAATGATTGATATTCAATTATATCTAAAGATTAATTGATCTGTAGAGAATCAATAGTACTTGTATCTGATAAGGATGATACATTCAAATAATAGAGAAGCATGATGTATAGAACTACAATAGCTTTCAAATACATGAAATATTCCATCAGTGAGCTATTATAAGAGGAAAAACTACATTGCACATACTTTTAATGCCCAAGAATCCAGGTATCTACCGAAAGAAAAAGTAGATGAAAATTGAGAACACAGCAGATTGAAAAAATTCAAAGAAATGCAATCAGACTGCAGGGCAAAGAGTTTGAAATTCCCAAGTAGAATAAGCCTTATTTGAAACAATATGCCAGCTAAAAATTCCATAATAAAACCTTATGAAGACCCTAAGCCTCTTTATTTTAATAACAGAAAATAGGTATTGTTTCAGCAAAGGGCAAATGATTTAACACTTTGATAAGATTATCTGAGCAGCCGTCCGGCAATGCCAACGGCATATAACAATATTAGGCTCTTAATAGAGGTTTCTCTAAGGGGAAAAGAAATGAAAGGAAGCCATATTAGTAACTCCTATAATCCACGGGTAGCATACATCCAGATCAAGATTTTAGATTCAGTTGAATCAGCTCCATAATCCCAAGCCAAGACCTGAAACTCTTTAATCGGTACATAAATATTTAACCGCCCAATCATTCCATTAATCCATTGAGTTTAATCGAAATTTGAAATCCTCAATGATTAGTATTTTGTAATTACGCTTAATTTTTGTGTAATAAATGCAAGTCCAAATGCAGTGGTCGCAGACCTGAACAATCTCCTCAGACATGGAAACGCAACGGGGCAAGGTATGATCTCTAGGCAGAATTCTAATCTGAGTCTTTGTTTCCATTCTCATTTGCTCAATAATCTTTCCTCCTTTCCCCAATAAAGAACCCACATGCATCCTCGAAACAACCAACCTCGTCGCGACCCAATTCCCTCCTCCTCTCACCACCGCTCCGTATTCCTCATCCTCCTCTCCTCCGCCACCACCGAATCCAAACTGCGAATCACTCTCCAGAATCCTCTCATGTATAAGGAACAACGCCTCCTGAGCAGGAGAAAACGACGGCATTCTCCCTTCAGGGTCGCGGCGACGCGTGTCAGATATCTCAATGATGCGTTCTTCGTCACCGTGAATCAGCTCGTGCACGTTGATCCACGCACCGGTGTGCTGTCTTATGGACTTGATAATGCTGCCCGACTTACCGATTACACCCCCAGCTTTCATATCGTGGCAGAGAATGCGGTAGCTAGTGGTGACCATAAGGGAAGAGTCTTGTCCTCCTCCTCCACCACTGCCGCCGCCGCCACCGCCACTGCCTTTACTCGGAGGTCGGCCGTTGTTGCCTCGTTGTTATTGTTGTTGGGATTATTGCCACGGTGGCGGTGACTATTAGGTAGGTAGTGATGGTTGCTGTACCGAGGTTTCGTCCTACGCATGGTCTGCCCATCATAATCTTGGTCATAGTAATGGTTCCTCCTGGATCTAGATCTATCCATCAAAAAATACACTACTAAGCTTTCCCCTCCTGAAGGTCCTCAACTTTCCAATCAAAACAAAAATTCAGTTTGTTTCGTCCATCAATGTTTCCCGGACGATGGCTCAGCTCCTTGTCATGGATCGGGGCCGGGGTTTTCATAGTAGTAAATCTTTGCTCTTAAGGTTTATCCATCTCAGGTGACTGTACCTTAAGTTATCTGTACCTTCAGTTATCTTCTGTTTGTTTCTAGGGAAAATCTTCGAGAAAATGCAAGCGTTGACGAGACAAAGAATCTGAAACGAGCAAGCTTCATATTCTAGCAGTCGTACAGAATTTGAGCTGCAAAGGTTTTTATGCACTTCTTCCCGTATACTTCACTTGTGGACAGATAGGAGGCTCCAACGGCATCGTTTCTAATTTTATATTTTCCTAATTTATTTATTTTGTGGAAATAAACAAGGAACTGAGTTCCTGAATCAATTTTAAGTAATGCAGAATTCATTTACTACAATCCCCATCTCAGCTAGACAACTACTCTTCGTCACTTGGTTATAAATTAGAGCCACCCAAAAAATTCACTGTATCTTTTTTATTATCCCCATAAAATTAAGGGTAAACTATACGTTTAGTATCTCAGTTATCATATTTATTCCGTTTTGGTCATCATATTATTTTTTATTTCAAAATCATACCTAACGTTATATTTTGATTTCATTTTGATCATTCACCGTTAAAAAACTAACAGTGATGTTGACATGTCATTATGAGGTAATGTCACACCATAAATTTAAAAAAATGACATGAAAGTAGTTTTGTTAAATTTTTAACAGCAGATGACCAAAATGAAACCAAAACGTAATATTATATATGATTTAAAAAAATAGTTGAATGATTTAAGTGAAACAAAAGTGATAGTTTTGTACTAAACGTGTAGTTTACCCTAAATTAAATGTTTAATAGAATAATTAATATTTAAATTTTATTTTTTTTTATTAACAAATGGGAAATGAGTCTAGTTCCCAAATTTAATAATTTCATCTAATTTTTACAAGGCTACGTATTTTATTTATACTATTATTACATATCAGAATTAGTTTTATATCATAAATCGAGTTTAAAACTAACTTAATTCAAACCCTCAATTGTCACGATAATTTGACATTGTTTGTATCATAATCGTAAGCAGACGTGCTAGTCTTCAATAATAATGTATGTGTTCATTTTATAACAAAATATAAAGTTTAATGCGTATTTTATAACTTTTGTAAGTTTAATATTTCAAAAAATTGAAATAGTTTAATGAATTTAGGGTATTATAGTTTAGAGGTGGATTTAGGAGGTAATGGTGATTTTGAGGTTTAGTAAAAAAGCAAATTAAGATAGCTACTGATCCTCGTTCCAAAATCAAATAATCAGGCCATTCAAATTAAGAGAAATTTGTGATATGAAGCTGTCAGCATTAGGGCAAAAACAGGACAATGAAAATAACCGTAGAAAATCTAATTCAACCCTTTTATACAAGCACGAACAAGTGATCTCAGTGGTTAAAGAGATGATTGTTATCCCTAGAAATCTCATGTTCAAACATGATGCATGCAAGATTGTTTGAACGCCATCGTTAAAGGATTGAGAATTTTTCAAACAAATATTTCTTATAATCACTCTATACTAATAAAAAAAAAACCATTCATACAAGCTTAAAAAAGACGCTCAACCAATCTCAACAAATCACATACATCACTGCATTTTGCAGGCCAACTGTGAAATAACACTTCAGGAGAAAGAAACATTTTATACATATGATGGTAAAACTAATACACTGTGGAATATCTTTATAAGATTTTGAAAATATAAGAATGCATTTTTCAGTATTCATCCGTGTAGTTTTTTTCTCAGTATTCATCTAAATAAGTATATACGGTCTCATCTTTCTTTGATTTACGACTCAGCAATGCTTTCAGCAGTCTTTTGCTTTTGCTCGGGACTTGCTCAATGTCTTTCTCAGTTTGAAGTCGCATCGAAGCTGATTTCCGGGGCTCCGATGGGTACTGCCATTAATGATAAAAGCAAAATAAAATTTTAAAAATATTAGAACAAGTTATATAAACACCATTAACATTGTATGAATCATTATCCGCATCAACACACATGCTTCATTGACAATTTTAGTTAATGTTATTCAAGTTAATCGTAGACATATTTCTGTTAATAGCCACAAAGTTCCCTCAAAAGTACTATGCATACAGATTAAATTATTCTATGCTTACCCGCCGTCTTGCCCCGGCTGAATTTGGGGTAGTTGGGCGGCTCTTATTTGGCGTTGTAGGCCTGCTCATGGATCCTGAACGTAGAAGTGGGAACCGGTGCGGTGATATCGTTCTTTTCTCTGGTTATACATATAATATACATCATCAGTGACAATAGACATGCATTCATAACTGAAAGCAGTCTTATGTAACGAGTTGAGTAGAGAAAAATGCATAGGATTGCCGTTAAAAAATATAATGAAGTCAAATGTGCATCCGACCTAATTCTTTCTTCGGTGTCGTGGCAGTAAAGGAAAAGGTTGAAGATCGCTGTGGAGGCCGTGGAGATGGTGATGGAGAACGGCCTTTTCTGAAACTATTACCAGAATACATATCAGTGCTTCTATTTACACAAGTGAGTGAGTACCTGAGGATTATTTATAATGCAATATTAATCCTTACCTGACTGAAGGTGTCGGGGTTTGCCGGACTGAAGATGTAGGTGTTTCTCGAATTGTAGCTCGGACAGCTTAGATAAGTCATTACAAGTAGGATCAAGTTAGATAAGAATCTTGTCCAAAGTGTAAAAAGGATGATAGAAGGATAGATAGAGCAACTACCATTCCTGAACTGATCCCAGTCATCTTTGTCATCTAGGCTACATCCGAGGTATTTCAACTTTGTACGGTTTGCACCATGCATGGTCTCCCCAACTGAAAAGTAATCAGACATTGAAAACAACCATATATCATTGTCTCTGTAATTGCTAAAAGAATGGGAAAGAATGAAAGGGAACAGAGAAGGGTACATTACCTGGCAAGATGTATCGTTTATGGTACTTCGGCGTATTAATCACCAGTGACTGCTGGGAAATCCCTTCGTGATCGATATACTCTTGGCATGTCCGCAGTCTCTATAATGACCGTACAGCAAATTTCAGTACTTTGTGAGTTATCCCATGATGAAACAATGGGGTGGCGTCTTAAATAGACTGCGATCATACATGCATAATACCCCATGCTTCTAAATAAACCAAAGCTAGACTTGTAGTTATCCCACTATGCAAAGAAAACAATCCGAGCTAACCTGTTCGATACAAGATACTCGAATCTCAGTTCCCAAAACCTCTTCAACTTTTTCATCCAAAAGATCATTAACCTTGTACGTCACGGAACCCAAATGGTCTATAGTATTCACAAGAGCTTTGATGGTATAATCTTTCAATGTTTCTACCACTCTGCATATACACGAGGATCTTATACTTGCACGCTGATATCAACAATTTAAGGTATGAAATATGAGGAATTAGAGTTACTCACATCTGCTTTTGGTCATCCTTGGTGTAGTACATTTCAAAATACTCAGCAGCTGAGTAGAGCTGTGATCTCAGATTTTTCAAATCCTGAAACCAAGAAACTGTGTCATAAAACCAGTGCGTAGAAAGCCATGATTCTCGGATTCGGGTGTGACTTGTGAGCATCGGACATGAGTACATGTCCCCATGGGTTGAACTAAGGTTTCCCATGTATTTGGAATATAAACATTTTAACTAGTACCTTAAGACTATCAGAGAACAACAAGCTGTGCTGCATAGAAATCTCATCATAATTGGATGGTTCTCGAACATAGGCATTGCAGCAGCCGGAGGCATCAAATCCGTGGACAAAGTTGGACGGACTGAGCAAACCTTGATCTGCACCAACCAAAATAATCAAATATTATGTTCCCTGAGTATTACGAACATCCCCAAATAATCAATGACCAAGGGTGCTTATATTTGGGTCAGAAAATGAGGAGAGTCAAAATGAATACAAATTGAATCTTGAGAATTATAAAATAAGAACCACATAGAATCAATAGCAATATGACAGCAGCAAGCATGAAACCTGTATACATACTTGAAAACTAAGTTGCAACTAATAAGATACAATGATGCAATTATTCCAACCAAACATTACCAAAGCTCTAACCAGGTTAAGGAAATAATTAAATAATAACTAATTATAAAACTAGACAGAACTTTACCCGTTTGATGATACATTTCTGCTACTACCCAGAAAAAAATAATGGAATCGTTACAGCTCAGCTGAATCTTCAACAATACTGGAACTGTATCGAACATATTAAGAACGCCAAAAGCTTAAAAAAAATTCCATATTTTTTTTGTGCAGCGATGGGCACAGAAAAGAAAACAAAATGAAAATCTTATGTTAATCAGTGAAAGTTTAGCCATTTCTCAGAAGGTTTGAATGAAATGTCATTTCAATTTAACTAATAAGCCAAATAGGCAATCGGCTCTCAGCTGGTTTTAAAACAAGCAGTAGCTTTGTTTTGTTAATCTTCTCCCCGTTTTTCTCAGTTTCCCAGAATCTCGATACTCCAAAACTTGAGGCTAACCGAAATAGAAAGTGGGTTTATGAGTAAAATTGCAGAACTAACCTCGTCTCTGTAAAAGCTTCTTCTTTTCTTCCCACGTCCTGTGTAGCTTAGAAATCACCAGAAGTTAAAACAAGGCCTAATGATTGACGGATGCTAATATTTGAAAAAAGAAGAAGAAAAAAATACTAAACATTGAATAGGGACAACAGAAACAGGCGTTTACTGGCTTGGGAGCTGCTTAAAAGGAAAAAGACTTGCAGGCGTATAAAAAAGAAGATAAAGAAGGGAGCATCTTTTGGGGTGCTTGTTTGAACCTTGATTAAATTGAGAGGGAAACAAGGTTTAGCAAGTTATATATTTGATTTTATAGAGCAAAACGCAAAAGCAAAAGCCAAAGCCGGAATGTGTGAACCCCCAGTTGCTGGTTATCTTCCATTTTAGTGGGACAACTTGCTTTTGCAGCATAGTTTTGGACATCTCCAAGCTTAACCGTTTGATTAGGAGACACATGCATTTATTTTCCACAGGTTCCTGTCTGGAATACACAATTATATAAAAATTACTGACCAAATTCCTTTGTTATGTCAAATTATTTTAATAATCAAGCTTGGCCGGGGCTTCCAAATCCTATATTTGAAAACAAAAGTAGTTTAGTAAAAAAAGAGGTAAAGTAGAAAGCTTTCATGGGAGATGGTGAAGCGCTTTGACTGAGTGCAATCATAGCAGGATCGCACTCCTCTACGATGAACTTGATTTTTCTTTGTTTCTCTAGTTGTTGAAGTTGAAATTCAAAGAGAATGTGTTTTTGTTTCGGATATGGGTCTTTTCCCCACCTGCTGGGAAGGAGGAAGTGATGGTCTAATTTCCATGGCCCTAATTTATCAACTAATATCTTATCCCATTTTGTAACTACTCTATCTACCTAAAAATATTTTTGAGGGTAATTACATGCATATTAACAAAAAAAATTAACAATAATGAGCATAAATAAAATTTTAAAATAGACACCCTCAGTAAAATAATTAATTAATCGAAATGTAACCAATCGAAGAAAATTCGAATTTCAGGGTGGACAAAAGCTCACCCTAAGTCCTCAATATATCCGCCATTGATGACCTCAGTAGTTAAAGATAATATTATTTTTAAGATTTTAAATTCGAATTATATCTGTAAAACATATGTGCATTATCAATAATTGAAAATTTTAAATATATATTATCTTGTAATCATTTAGATTATTAGAAAAAATAAATATATATATACTAAGTAAAAAACCATATTTTTTTTTGTAAACCAGAGCATTTAGGAATCAATGGCGTGATTGGTGGGAATTGCGTAGGTCCCGCTCCCAACTTGGGGGCAAAATCATTGCCTTTTTCTAATTATGTGGCATTGTGGCTTCTCAATTTCTACATCTTATCATCTTTCCCCTAAAGTCGTTGTTAGGTATTATCCTCGTCAAAATTTTGTTCACCTCGAAATATTAAAAAAATATTTTTAAATCAATTAATTATTTATTTTCTAAAATTAAATTATTTAGTTTTTTAATTGTTTGAGTTTGAATAATTAAATTCAAATAAATTGAATCATAAAATTTTATAGATGTCACTTGGTTCCTAATAATTTTAAAAATATATTAGTTGACTCATCTTAACAAAATTTACAAGAAAAAATTTAAAAAGTTATTACAAATATCAGGTTTTTTTCTAATAAAAATTGCATAAAAGAAAAAAGAAAAAGCATCTAATTATTAAAAGGGTAAATTACACATTTAGTACTTAAATTATCCGTTTTAGTCTATTTTAGTATCTAAACTTTAAATTTTTTCAAAATCATACCTAAAATTTACTTTTATTTCATTTTAATACCATGTCGTTAAAAACTTACATGTTTGATACCTAAACTATGAATTTTGATCCGTTTCAGTACTAAATTATCAAAAAAAATTCAAAACTTAAGTATGATTTAGGTACTAAACGTGTTTTGGTACCTAGACTTTTATTTTATTTTCAAAATTTAACATTGTGGTATTAAAATGAAATAAAAATTAAACTTTAGGTATGGCTTTGAAAAACTGAAAATTTAGGTACTAAAACGAATAAAAATGTACTAAATGCGTAGTTTGCCCTTATTAAAATATATAAAATGTTCAATTATAAAAAATTATTGTACAGGAAATGTCTTGGATCAGTTACCACTCTTTACCCCATCATTTTTGTTTTATGTTTATAGGTATTATATTTGATATGCCTCCTACACGTATTAGTGTGAATACGAGTTGTGTAATGAGGGCTAATACGAATGAGAACACATCAAAGGGTGGTGCAACTCCTATTCCTCATGCGCCAGCTCAAAGGTAGAATCTTTCAAAATCAAGTGTCGACTCTTTTGTGCAAGCTATGATTGGAGCATTTCAACGAATTGTTGGTGCCAACCCTGTTCTTATTAGCCATGGATTGTCTTTGGAGCATCAGCAAACTTCAGGTGAAGTTGAGTTACTAGCTTATTTGTTGAAGTCAGAGAGAGACAATTTGAGAAAATCAACATCGAAGAGAAGAGAATAGAGATCATCGACAAAGAAGATGAAATATTGATAGTGAGCTTTACAAACTTCTTCAATCTTTAGATGCTTGAGAGCGACTGAAGTACAAAGGAGTTGGAGGAGGGATTCAGGCATACCGAACCAAAGCGAACACTTCAGGATTAGGGATGAGCATGGGACCTGAACCCGACGGATTCCGACCCGACCCGAAAAAATATAATTTTACCTTATAGAATAATTATAATAATACCCCTCAATATATTATTATTTTTAATTAAATCACTGTTTTTATTGAATAAAAATAATATTTTATTATTATTATTAATTCGGGTCGGGTCGGGTCAGGTCGGGTTCGGATTTTATTTCAAAAAGTCGGGTCATGTTCAGGTCGGTGGAAGGTATATATTATGCGGGTCAGGTCGAATTTCGGGTGGATGAGTCATTATTCTCGGGTTGGGTGGACAAAAAATTTGACCCAACCCGACCCATGCCCATCCCTATTCAGGACAGATGCCTTTGCCCTTACAAGTAGCGGAGGAAAGGAGTTGTTCTAATTTTTCACCGGAGTCTCAGCAATCGACAGCCGTTACTCGTCACTTTTGCAGCGTGACCACATTGTTTAGTTCTGCAATACAAGGAAATGGGATTTGTAAACGCATAAAATATCTCAAAAATTAATCAAACAAATAAACTTTTAATATACTTAACAAACAACCCAAAACAATGAAGCACACCATATTGCATAGCATGGAAACAAGTAAACTTAATTTGGATTGGTTACTGTAGAGGCAATAACGATAACGACTTTCTTAACTCAGTTTATTTAAATATACTTTTAATATACTTAACTAACAACCCAAAACAATGAAGCACACCAAAATTGCATAGCATGGAAACAAAATTGTGTCTTCTCGTTTTATATCCAAAACTGTTTCTTCGTAATTTATTGATTTTTTTAATTTTTTCATTTTTTATCCAAATATCAATAAAAAAAATTAAAAATTAAAATAATATCATTTTCAGTTTATTTCTAGAATTAATATCATTTTATGTATCTTTCAAAGACACTTCTTATCGAAAGTAATTTTTGGCATCTTTCTAAGATTTTTTAAAAAAATTATAAGAACCAAAGTAATAATTTAACGCTATGAGTTGAAAAAACTGTTGATGTTAGTTTATATAGACATACTAGAGTGTTAGCATTTGTTTCTTATCGACATGAGATTCAAGAGCTAAAGAGTATTCTTTTAATTTTTTTTCATATAATCTATATTTTTTTATATTTACTTAATCTCACCCAGAGATGGATCCAGAGAGAATAGGTGGGGAGATCGTTCCCTAAAAATTTTAAATTCATATATATTTTACATATTTTCTTTATAAATATATCTATATATTGAAATTTTGTTTTTGCCGCTCTAACATAAAATCATGCATTCATACATTATCTCACCTAATTGAAATTTACTATTAAAATATAAATTATGTTTGTATAAATTAAAATTAAATATTCTAAAATACTTAAACAATTAATTTTATAAATTATGGATTAAACTTTGTAAATTTTTTCTAAATGTTTCCAAAATCCGAGTGTTGGAATTAAAATGTAGTTCATTATTGTATGAATTGATTTATAAATTTAATTTCCTTTTATATAAATTTGAAAATTTAAAGTCAGTCCTCTATTCTATTCCGTAATCGAATGAAAATGTTTACTTCTTCAATTTAATTTTTTACTTTGCAGTTTACTTTAATAATGTGTTCATATTTGTATAATCTATTTCTTTAATATTTAACATCTCAATTAGATATATTAATCAAATTACTTAAACAATTAAATTTATAGTTAAGCACCAACTCCAGTGACCTCGGTGTTAGAGGAATAATTATTATTCTTTGAGGTCTCGGGTTCAAACACTAAGAATGCCAGGGGTTTGAGCATTCAATGTCAAAAGGTTGAGAGTTATTTGTGAACATACACTACATTGTACTTACCCCTGATTAATCAAAAAATATTTTTAGTTAAGATCTAGATACTAAAACATTATTCAAATCAATTACAACATTATTTTGTACAAATATTTTTAAATTTTTCATAATTATTACGATACAACTATTTATTTTCTATGTTTTTAAGTACGAAGAATAAAAATTAAGTGATCTAATGAAATCAAACTTTACAAATTCATTTTTATTAAACACCAATTTTTCTATATTTATTGTGTTAATATAGCAGTTCATCTTCTTCTACATGGGACTTGTTTTAAATTATAGATAGAATTTTTCAATCTAGATCTCAAATTGGTAGGGTTTTATAATATATATATATATATATATATATATATATATATATATATATATATATATTATTTGATTTTAGTTCTAATTTAAATATTTTCATCAAAATGTTTCTTAACAAAGTTTAATCTATAATGTTCAAAATTTAAGTTTTAAATATTTTAGTATATCAAAGTATTTAATTTTAATTGATATGAACATAATTTATATTTTAATAGTAAATTTTAACTAAGTGAATTTATCATGATACATATAAATATAAGAAATAGTGATAATATAGAGAAAATTTTAGAGGAAGAGCTCTTGAATCTCGCACTAAAAATAAATATAGCTAACAATTCAGTGTAAAAAAGAAATATCAATAGCCTTTGCAATTTATGGAGTTAAATTACATATTTGGCCAATATTAATTTATTTTTAAAACTCTAATAAAGCATGTTTTATTAAATGCGATTTTCATCATCATTTTAAAAGCACGATTGATTGAGCACGCACTTTTATCTTATGTGTTAGAAAAAGTATTATTTCAAAAGTTAATCCTAAATGAGTGTTAATCTAGAAAATAATATTTTTTAGGTGATATTTGGCAAATAATCCTTTTTTAACTTTACCTCAAGGCTCAAACTGGCGTTTGGTTCGCTGGAATCTCTTGGAATTAGGAGGAATTATAATTCAATTCCACCACTTTCCATGTTTGGTTCAAGTTTTCAAAGGGGGAATTGGAATCCAATTCCATCAAGGGAGGGAAAGTAAATTTCATCCATAACATGATAGAATTGAAATCATTTGGAGGAGTGAATATAAAATTTGACCATATTACCCTCATCAATATTTTGGTATTCGGGTCGGATTTGTTTTAAAAAAATTTGGGATCGGGTCGGGTTTTTTTCGTCTAGCTTAGTTGGTAGAGCACAAGGTTCTTAACCTTGTGATCGTGGGATCGAGTCCGACCCGACCCGAAAAAAATATATAAAATGGATGTCCCTTGTTCCCATATGTAATAGGGTAAGGGGGAGGTAAGATAGTAAGCTACCCCCAACACCAGGTTGAGAGCAGCTTCCGTAGAAGACCTTCGAATTATGAAATGCCCTCCGTGGGACTCGATCCCACGACCTCAAGGTTAAGAACCTTGTGCTCTACCAACTGAGCTGGATAGTCATCTATAAATGGATGTCCTTTGTTCCCATATGTAATGGGGTAAAGGGGAGGTAAGATAGTAGGCTAGCCTCCAACACTAGGTTGAGAGTAGCTTCCGTATGAGACCTCCGAATTATGAAATACCCTCCATGGGATTCGATCCCACGACCTCAAGGTTAAGAACCTTGTGCTGTACCAACTGAGCTTATATAATTTTACCTTATATATTTAGGAATAATTACAATAATACCCCTCTATATATAATTTTTTTCAATTAAGTCACTGTTTTTATTGAATAAAAATATTTTTTTAGTATTTCGAGTGGGTCGACTTTCTAATTCATATATTTGGGTCGGGTCGGGTCTCGGGTGGAGGTTCCCTTATTCTCGGGTCGGGTCGGGTGGACCAAAAACCCGACCCATGACCATCCCTAATTGGGATAATTTTAACTTATGATATTTATTAGTATGATTTTTATAATTTATTGAAATGAATAATCAATCAATAAAATGAAATTTAATATTTTTTTTAAATTTTTATAATATATTGCTACATGTAAGTTATAAAACAAACTAAAATTAAGCAAAAAAACAAGAAGGGTAATTCTATCATTTTACATTACTGAAATCAAATTCATCTTACATGTCTGCGAACCAAATAGAATATGAAATTAGATTCTAATTTAATTTCCTTCCAACCAAACATGTTTCAGATATATATTCCAATTCTTCACACATTTCAATTCCCTCATAAACATTCCGAACCAAACGCCACCTTAGTCCAATCAAAGACCAATGATTTGAGTATTTCAAGCAATCAAAACTCCAAGGATGTATTTGGGATCACCAAAGGATTTTCATTACATTTTCTCAACATCCAAACGGGTAAAAAATACAGCTATACGATCGAATCTAAAATTTAAGGTTAAAAAACAATAAAAATAGAATGCTGCTGAAAATATAATAAAAAATAATATTTTAGGTTGAATGCAATTTAAAATGTGATTTTTTGTCCATTTTCTATTACAATCTAAAATATTATTTTATTTATAATATCTTAAGTTATCATCATATTTTCTATTACAATCTAAAATATTATGAAAAAAAGGTTACGTTTTAAATTATGTACAATTTAAAATATTATATTTTTTTAATCACATTTTCCATCGTATACATTTTCACCCTTTTTTTAACCTTTAGATTAAGTAGTCTTTCTTTAGCGGTAAAAAAAACCTGGCATTTTCTCGTGTATACGAAGCGCCAGGAGCGTTTGTTGTTGCTTAAACGACCCTTGCAATTCACATTCATCGTCACCCACTTCACCCACTCCTTTTTCCTCAATAAACTTGGAAACCCATTTTATTAATATAAAGAAGTGGCAATTTTACGGTGTGAAAAAACGTTTTTGCAGCATCAGTTTCTAGGGGAAAAATGGGGTCAGAGTGTGAAAGTGAAAAAACTCCTATACTAAAGCTTTCACTATATTCGTTGCCGAATAAAGCCAAAGAGCCGTCCTGGATGACAACGCCACCGATCCATACATCCGTTTCGATACCGTTCCAGTGGGAGGAAGCACCGGGCAAGCCTAGGCCGTGTGTCACAACCAATCAATCAAAACCCCATAGCACAAGATGCCTGGAACTGCCTCCGAGGTTGTTAACTGAGTCTAAGGTTTCTAACAATCCGTCTCCGACAAATGTCTTGGAGGGGCCTGATACGGCGGGTCGGTTCGTGTCTCAGACCTTGTCGTTTCGAAATCCCGAGAGCAGGAGGGTGAATAAGGAGAAGGTAGTGTTTGGATCGAGTAGGTGGGGGAGTTTTAGAAAACCCGGACGAGTTGTTAAGGGAAGTTTTGACTTTTCATCTCCTACGGTTGCTGATGGCGGAACCGGTGGCGGTGCACAGATGAAGATCACTAGGGATAGGCGGAAAGGGAGCTTGTTGAGTCTTTCTCAAGCTAGGTCACACGTTTTGGTAAGTGCTAAAACCATCTCTTCTTTAATGGTCCCTTCTATCCATTGTCTTCTCTCTTCATTTTTATTTTATTTATTCTTATGCATACGACAAACGTGCCCGAACCCATCGAGTAACCAAAATGATTAAAAAAAACTCAGTTTAAATATTATGTCTCGAGATTGTATATTATGAATAGTTAACAAAGATTATGAATAATTTTTGTTAGTAGAACCAAACTTTACGTTCAAAGTTGTTTAAGGGGTTTGACTCTTATACTTTTGAACTGAAGCCCTATATTTCTTGGTATAATCTTAGAATAGAAGACACTTTAGAATTCTTTATTACATGAAAGGGACATGCCTCTAATTTATAGTTTCTGACAAGTCCCGTAGCTTCAGCCTTAGTACTAGTTATTACCATTATCTACCAATAAGCATTTATTTTGGTAAAAGGGTAGGCAGGAGAAATCATTACTCTTAGGTAGGTAAATAGATTTATAAATCTACCATGACTTTTGGAAATGTGGTTCCATAGGGTAGGAAAATAATAATATAGTTTTTTTACTACATATTTCTTGATGTTTATTATAGGAAACACTGTGTGTACAAATACAGGCAAGCATTTATGAAAGCTTTAAGCAAGTGGTGAAATGGAGACGTGGGCAGGAGGTGAAAATGAAGAACAAGGGTTACTGAATTCCACCAGTTTAACTTCTGTGTAGGAAAAAAATGAATTCATGTATATAAATATATTTTATTGGTATCTTTCATGTAATAGGAAGGAATTGTTTAGAGCCTAAGCTTTCACACATAGTACGTGTGAAATTATATTATATTAAACCATTGATCATATAATATTAGTCAAGATAAGTGTCTAAGATTTTGGTGTACATATTTGAAATTATGAGAGAATTAGATGATTACGTTGTCCACTAATAATAATAATAATAATAATAATAAATAATAAATAATTATTATTAAATTATTTTTATTATTATTATTATTATGGAGATAGCATAAATTAAAGCAAGGGTTTTCTTTAAAGATAAAGTAATCAAATTCATGTAGTTTTAATATGCGACAATCTAATTTAAAGTTAATTTAAGACAATTTTAATTTAAAATGTTATCATATTTAACTTAAAAAGTTATACAAATTTGTATATTTTCGGTTGTAACTGAAATATTACATTGCAGGAGATTTATGGTTTACAATTGAAAATGTTATGAAGAAGATAATATTTTCGGTTGCAACTGAAATATTAAACTATCTAATTTAAAAAGTTACATTTTTGATAAAATTTTTAATTTCAATCGACTCGTTTTTAGCCTTATATTAACAAATTATATTTTAAAATTTCGCATCAAATTCAATTTTTTTTCTTAACTTTAGAAAAACGAAGATGGCGTAGGATGGGGGTCCATTATATTGGAACAATATTTTCTCATATAATAAGAGATTTTTTATTAGTTTAGAGTGATTATAAGATATTTATATGTTTAAATTTTTTACAAATATAATTATTTAAACTTAAGACTTCAAAAAAATAATGTGTTCTTTTATCATTAAGATCGCTTATTAGATTCACATATGGGATTTTGACCACACACGAAAAGGAAACTTAACTGCAATTTGAGCATTAATTTTAAAGTCCTGAGGCCCTGCTTATCCACATTGATCTTTGGTAGTCACATCCTATATATTTGCCTTTTAGTGCAAGGCATACATGGGCTTTTTTGGGGTCCCGACTCTGGAAAGTCAGAAATCAAACGACTCAATTCGTCTTGAAAGCGTCCAAAAATATTTCTGTTACACCCATACCTTCCTATATTTACTGCTATTGTTACTTATAATATCCTATTCACATACATTAGGTTGAATGTTGTCCCATATATAAGTGATTCATCTGTACGGATTAAGTGACTTTTTATAATGTGTTTTCTTGGTCGGTTTTTTGCGATATTTATTTTACTATATGATATGATGATATATTTATTATAGATTTTTAGTATTTTAATATGATTATAAAATAATGAATATGGTTTTAAATTAGATACACTTTTATATATTGTTTCTTGAATGTTGTTCCTTCTTAGTTGAATTTGATTTTAAATTAGATACACTTTTTTCTGTATGACTAATGTTGGATGATGTGGAGATAAATTTAATTTTAATACAGAAATGATGATGATCTTAAATCTCATAATTTGTATATTATTCATAGATGATAATAGATATGGGTTCGAAATTTAAATGACAATTAAGCTGTATTTTATTTTAGTTTTAGTGGTTGAAGATTATTTATAATTAAATTTATTTAATACATAAATAATTATTGTAGGCAAAAAAAAGTATTATGAAGATACATTTTTAATGATAAAATATTCAACTCTATAAATATGAAATATGTCTTAAACTTTAGAATTATGAGATAATTATTTTAGAGAGATATGTAGCCTGTGTAATTTTTAAGATTTAAGGTGTATAAATAAGTTTTGTAGATATGTTTATATTGAGAAAGTGATTTGAGATACACTAGATTTTTATATATTGAGTTTTGAGATACATGATACCATGTAATTGTACTTTTCGTGATCATTACATTTATAATGGATTATTGTTCTCATCCATTGAGGTAGACAAAAGTTGCACCATATTAAAACTTATCTCTTACATATATCTTATTTTACATTAATTTCACTTTAATTGTTTTTTTCGCCTACGCGTTACTAACATCGAAGCTATTAGCTTTTGGTTCCACAAAAGTTTCTGCTTTCCTTCCTCTAAAATAATGATATTTTTTGGGTTAAAGAAGAATGATATTCCACTTGTGCAAACTTGGGTTTCTACTATCTCATTGGCTATTTATAAGATTAGTCTTATATTTCATAAAATCTATCATGTAAAAGCTTTTAATGTTTTTTCCCCCATGAGAATGATATCTTCATATGAAAAATTGCAGGCTTTAAATCTGCTCGAAATGCTGAAGAAGGAAGAAGATATGCTTTTAATCTATATTTGCGTTTTCTTCCTGACAATTGTAGTTTCATTACCTTGTTATTCTTTAAGTAAAGCACTACTTAAGATGTAATAGAAGGGCAAAGGTATCGCAGGCTCATGACCACAAACACCAGCCAATGGTCTTTGGTTCATAGCCTTATAGGTGGAATAAAATCTTAACATCTTGTGGTTAGGATGCCAACGATGAGCATGTGAGTTTGGTGTGCTAGACATATGTCCTTGGAAAGTGGTGGGAATGCTGGCAAAATGAATTTATATGCCAGCCTGTGACAGGTACTACTTTAAGGGCATTGTTTTTAATAATAAGATCTTTTTACTTATGCATTCAGATAAAAAGAATGATGATATATTTATTAGTATGCAGCTACCTTTAAGAACTTGCCCCATCTACGCAAATGTAAGCAAAATTGATTGGACTAGAACTAATTCACTCACTTCAATAGTAAAAGGGAATATTGTTCTCTTAAGAGGATCCATGTTCGAGCAACTGTGTTTGCAGAGTATGCAGAGTAAGTGTGTACAATCAATAGTTAAGAAAGATTCTGAACAAATACTATTTTATAACGCCACAAAAACTATTAAAAAAATGATGGGAGTAAAGTTGGATAGACATTTCTCCTTCTAATGGTTAATGGGCTCTGATAATGTTTTGCTAATAAAAAACCAAGAGTAAATGGTGTAAATTTGTGCTTGTAAACAACTTACAGTCTTAAAAAAGAAAAGTTTGCCTCCTACGTACTGAATAATCCATTGATAAATGAAACACCAGATTTGTTTCTTCACCAATGGCAAAGTATTCCCTAAATCCCCCCCCCCCAAAGAATTTTATGTAACTAATCTATATTGAAGATGATCCAAATGTGGACTAGTCTTTTAGGTACATTCCACAAATGAAAAATGAAGTAAACTTATGATTCTGAATAGAAAGATGCAGACTGTTACATTAAAAAAGGGGAATACTTTACAAATGCCACAAAGCTCAAAAAGCAGTACCATGGTCCTTTATCAATTAAAGAAACAAGAATACAAGCATTCAACAATGGCAGCAGGGGATGCTTTTTATGTGTAGGTATAAACAGTTTTTGGTGCAATTACATGTAATTTTGCAAACCAATAACTGAAAAAAAAGTAAAAAAAAAAAAGGTAAGGGGAAAATAAGGCATTGTTCTGAAAATCAACAACAAAAAGACTTCAATGAAGCCAGAACTGCCAAATACGGAGATGATCAAACACTTACAAATTACTACAATAGTTTCACAATCCGCCATTGCACTGTTCTTTTTGCCCACCAGCCAGATGCTGCCATCCATACTCATCAGTTTGACCACCAAATTAAAGATCATATCACTGAAAGAAATATCAAGGCTTTCAAGGGCAAAAGGAAAGAGAACTTTCAAGCATCAATACATTGAAAGCCTCTGCAAACCCATAATCAAATCCCAAATAAAGTAGAACAAACGAGCAAATCCAATATCAAAACCACCCAGACATGTTTCCTCCAAGTTTGCATAGCCTTTTGCCTTTCCCCACCACTACACAAAGCACCACTCTTTTGCATAGAAACTGAGAAATCTCTAAAATCATCACTCACGTCAACCATGTTATCTATCCTAATCCCACCACCACAATCTTTGCTCTCACCGCCGTTGACTTCCCAAACACCGGACCTTTTCTTCTTTTTTAACCCCTTAATCGGCTGCCCCAACAGTGGAGCCACCATGGTTCCTTTCCCTCTGTCAGAATCCATACTTTGGTTCCGGCTGTTATTTGCTGGAGACCCAACGAACTCCAAATCTAAAACCATTAACTCCGAAAAAATTGGATTGAAATGGGACTGGAGGCAATTCGCGGTCAAATCATCAGTACCCACAATCGGACCAGTGAGAAGAAAATCCTCGAAAGCAATTTTCAAGCGATTCAAGAACCAAAAGGACTCGGATTTGACAAGATCCTCGTGGGATATGATGAAATAAACAAAAGGGTCGTCGATTACGAAGGTGTGGGATCTTTTAGAAGCTGTATGAGAGAAGACTGAATGGAAAGGAGGGGTTTTCTCGATGCATTTCTGGGCTAACGATTCGATTCCCGGTTCTTTGCGAGAGAATTCCGCAAGAATCGTGGGACCTTTTGCAATGCAAGCATACAATATCAGATTTGGATCGGAAATCATTTGATGGGTTGTTCTTAAATCACTGCGTTAGCTTTTCTCAGTTTCTGTTTATAGATTTCGTGTGGTGTTTTTTTATGGGAAAATAACTTAAGTGATAAAAAAAATGTCTTATAATATATGATTTTAATTAAATTTTTTTTGGATTTGTCAAAATGACTAACTAAATCGTAATGCGATCGATAATTTACAACGCGATCTCCGGTATCGCAAATCAGTTTTCAGATTCGCAACGCGATTCTGACTATCGCATTGCGATTTTCCAAATTCGCGTTGCGATTTTCCTAAATCGCAATGCGAATATGTAAATCGCAACGCGAATCTGACTATCGCAATGAGATTATGACTATCGCAACGAGATTCTGACTATCGCAATACTGAATTTCAAATTCGTAACTTAATTTCTGAATTCGCAACAGGTTTTAGTTTCGTAACACAAATGTTTTGGGTATATAACTACGCAGCAGCAGCAACTCATAACCTAAATCCCTAAATCGCAACTCATTCCATCTCCATCTATCACTCTCTCCGGTGACATCCGTTCCTAT